CACTGTCTAAATTTATCAGGCAACAAAATAGAATTTCCGATACAGTTTTAAATTCTCTATCGAATGTCGTATTTTGAGTTAAATTTTTATCTTATTAAAGAGGAAATAATGTATTTTCTTGAAAAACGAAAAATGCCAAAATATGCTTGTTTGCAGAGTATTTACAAAAAGTCATTTTTTTCGGATATTTGTTCGAAAGTAAAAATTCTATTCCGCTTACTACATGCAGAACTTGATGGCGCATTTTTTGGTTATAACAGAATTTTAGTGTAACGGATTGTGGTTCTGAGATCGCAGGCAAGGTTTTTACAAAATACTGTCAAACATTGCAAAATGTACTTTTTAGAAAAATTATCATTTCTCTGAGAATACTCATTCAATAATCGCAAAAAATTCAGGATATGTACAACTTTTGTTGCTCTACCAAATTGCATAAAAATCGGATCAAAATCTTGTATTCGAAAATTTTTCGAAATGCTATATTGATTGGAAACGCATAAAGGCTCATAACTTGTGAAAACCATAACTCTCTCAAAACAAATCCGTCCTCCATAATAATTTCAGGATATATGCAGTTTCATTGGCTCTACAAAATGGCTGAAAAAAATTAGTAAATTATGGGAGGTGAAGTCTTCCTTAAGCCGTTGTATAGTGCACATTTATTCCAACCATCTATTCATTCTTTCTCTTTCTGTCAATTAAGTCGTTCGAACAGTCAATGAGAGAACAAGCAAAACAACGATACTATAGGTATGAAAAAAACCTATTTCAATAATATATGATCATCTGTCATTTTATGTGTATGAATAAATGCACAAAAGCAGATTTATTTTAGGATGCATACATCGACAATATAATACTTTCTTTCTTTTTTTTGCTTCGAATAACTGCGACTCATTACACCATTATTCTACTCGTTAACACAGAAGATTTCGCAAGAATACAGTGAGAAAACATAAGTCTTTTGAAATTGCATTCTGTTCAGAAGACCTTATCCATTATCAGTATCCGGCAGAATTCACTATCCTTAAGTAGTACTACTAACCTTGTGTAGTATTTTGTCTTTTAACATAGATTTTTTTGTATATGAAAAATTTATATTATGTATTCAGCAACAGAAAGTAATATCATTTATCATAATCAAAAACTTTCGAAATGAATCATTTTTTATGTTTCACAAGAAAAAGAAAAAAAAAGTAATAATATAATATAATTTGCTTCTTTTTCATTTAATGTACTTTTAGATTTTTGATCTGTAGCGATCATCATGAGAAAATGATGTTAATAATATTGGAATAATTTTAAACGTTCGAGTTGTAATTCATATCCTTGTTACTTAATATGATGTCATTCTGTAAGTTTACATTGTTGTAAAGTTGTATGAGAATGAATAAGTCTCAACATAGTTGTTGATTTATAACATATGCATAAATATAAGTGTTACCATCAATTAAAAATGACTTGAATACTACGACTAGTACCACAACCGTCGATACTTTCATTAGGTATAACATAATATATTGTTTCTCTAAATAGAGAAGAAGATAATAATCGTGTTATTGTTGCTCATACCTAATACAAACGTAAATTTTGTTTTTTTAACATGAGTTTTTTATATATGAAAGAATTAGGCAATATATTTGATTATTATAAAAGATATTATTTTCTGTTGCTGAATGTATTACTTAATTTGTGTAGTATTGTGTTCATATCATGGTAGTTATTATCCGGTCGATAAAAAACTTGTGAATTTCTGCATGAAATGAGTAGCAAATATTAATTATTGTAACGCTACTCCTCTCACGAAGCATTTGAACCAAGAATTGTCAATATGTTTTATAAGTTCTGTCGTAGAAAAAAACTCTTCGGCATTGTATTCTTTTCCCATTTCAAAAGGTTTGACATCGCTGAAAATTAGATATGATACTGTACAGAAAACAAGTGTTGCAGAAATTTTTTGTAAAAGGGATTCTCTTCAACTGGGTTTTTGGCAATGAATATGCTTAGAATAATGCTTTCAAAGTGAATAGTTTTAATTGCGTGGTAGCTGTTTTTGTGACGTCGACAAGAGGCGAGCTCGCATGTATTGAAAAAACTGTATTTTATCTAAAATACATCTGTGATTAGAATTGCCAAGAGAGCTTTAAGTCAGAATGAAGAAGTGAGACAGTGGCGCCATTTGGTGTTTGAGTTATGAGAAATTTTATGATGAAGATAAAAATCATATGAGATTCTTCAGGAAAAGAAAATGGTCACACATGTCTGAGAAAAGGAAGATTTCGTTCAAATATCTTTAACTGTGAAATTTTTTTTGTGTATTTTTTTATCATAGTGAGCAATCATAATTGTCAAATAGTTTAATTTTCCTATGATTCGATACTGTACTCATAGCACTAGAAAATAAACGTATCCTAGCATTATTGACCATCTAGCTTTTTGATAGATATCTCTTTGGGTTTTTACAAGGTCGAATGAAATTCTCCCAAGAAAGTAAGCATCAAATACTCTTGAAAAGTCTAGCGGAGCGATGGTTATGAACAGAAAAGCAACAAAATTGACATAAGGATGTTGCGAATATGAGTTGTCAACAATTTTTATGGGCCAATGTATCGAAATTCGCCTAGAACTGCACAAGTAATAGTTATTCAAAAATTTTCTTAGAATTTTCCTAAGCTCAAAAAATTTTCCCGTTACAGCCGTTTATACAGACCCCTATATTCGACGCGTATACGTTAAAAAAGAACAAATCAGTGAAACAGACAACTCAAAAAATGTAGTTTGTAATGCATTTCTGTAATGTGTTACCATATAATAGAATGAAGACGGTGTAATCTATCATTGTTAGAGAAGAAACATTAGTGCTCTAAGAGCATATGAAATAGCTCGTTCATTATATGATCAACTTTCCTATCGATGATTAAGAAAAGAATGATGCGGTATGCATGGGTTCAGAATGAAGTTGACTCGAGAACGAGTCTTCTATTTCATACTGTTCATAGGAGAACTTTAGAGGCTTCATCGTGGTCAACTTGTGTTAAAAAAAGCCTGGCAAAATGAACCAGTGCAGGAGGAATGATCTTCCGTCTGAGCGAGGATGATGAGTTTGATGAAAAAATTCAGTTCTCATTTAGGGAAGTTCTGTGTACAGAGTACCCCTCGTTTCCAACATCCCATATCGTGTTTTTCAATGTTTTGATCGCTGCATCCTTATTTATAGGCCGAGTTCAGAAAATTCGTCTGTTAGAATGAACAGTACAAAGAAGCCTCTAAAATTGCTTCAGTTTGACATCTTTCGAAAGCTTTTGTGCTTTTGTTATGCCTTAGCAGTTGTCGGACCATTGTGTTTCATGATAGTTGCTTTCGAGTGCATCAATATAGGGGAAGAAAAACATAGACTATCTTATACAGGCCTTGGAAGCTGGTAAATTAGGCGAGAAATACTCCTCCCTACTAAAACATTGGATATCAGTGTTAATTTCATATATGATTGTGCCTGAGTTGAGGAGTAATTGGATTTGTGCCTGAGAATAATGGTATGAGTGTGTATGTTTGCGCATCTTGTCTTCTTCCATCCACACCGTTAGACGCCCGTGACATGTAGATTCTTTTCCGAAGATATTGTGCGAAGTTGTTCACTTTTATCAGGGTGACCTAACAACCTTAAATTACTTCTTGCACTGCGAGGTGTTGGTAAAGGAGATTCGTGAGTGAAGAGCAGGTCAACACATTTACACCCAAGCACATTTCCAGTTAGACATTTACTAGGCTTGTAGCGCTCGCATCACGATAACGCTTAAACCGAAAAGGTCTTCAGTTTATTGGTAATTTATTGGCATGTATCTTAACAATCGAGCCAAAAATTAAAATAAATGAGTTCCTTAAAGGAAGCTGCTTTCCGTCGCTACTATAAACCTAACTAGTACAAGAATTGAAGAATAATTTCTTCCAAAAAAGTAATCTAATACTCATAGATTTCCTCATTGTAGTCAGAAAGTATAAGAGTTCACACTGCCAATGCGAGAATCGTCTATATCTCGCCTCAAACAGTACAGTCACCCAATCAGCAGTCAGTTCAGTTGGCTTCGTTCAGAGCCCTAATACACAGTAGAGATAATTGTTCGATTTAATTAAACACGTTATTTTTCACAACAAATTACCATCGATTGTCCGTGATATTTTACCCACTCGATTAAACATCATCAGTCGTGTTTTCTTGTGCTAACTTAAGAGCTTCATTATGGAACAGGAGTACATACGTTATTCGTATTTCTCTTATGATACCACCTTGCCGGATCTCTCTTAGTCTTGTTTCTTTTGTAGCTGCGCACACTGATAATTTCTAACACATCAAACTCGATCTAATTTTCGAAGAAACCTTTCCCGAGTCATCCTGCAACGATGCATCTGGTTACAATTCTTTTTGCCGCAATACTATCATGTAGAGGAAACGGTAAGTGCTTTTTATTTTGAATGTATGCTGATACTAACTGACTATTCAGTATTGTTTCACGCGATTGTGTAGTGGCAAGAAGCTAATATATTGAGATGCAAATGAACATATTTCTAATTTATCGATGAGCGATTTTGAATATACATGATGATTTGCCCAAAAACAATCGTGCAACTCAACCTGCATTTGTATTTTCCTGCTAAAAATTATTTTTCGATGCAGATTTAGCTCATGTTTTATTTATAGCAAACTCAAAGTGTGAGTGAACAAGTAAATGAAGATCGAAACTAGGGTGATGATTAAGATTGAGGATTTCGTATTAAAGTGCTGAAAGCCAAATGATCCAAAAAACAAAATCGCGAAAACGAAAAATTGGAAAAAAAATAAACCAGAAGGAGATATGATGAAATTCAAAATCTCGCAAGACACAAAAATATTAAAAAAGAAATCTCGCTGGTGGGTAAGTGTAAGTGAACAGAAGACGCACTCTCACCCTCCAACTACTCATCCACCCTAGAAGCAAGATCTATAAAGGACTTCATCACTTAGAATGCCCGCTGGTCAGTAAAAGCCTAAAAGCCTAGCTTTGAAACTATGCCTTGCTCTTTTAAAGATGTCATGCTTGAACATAATAAACAGTAGCATAAATATTTTCTTTTATTATTGGACATTCTAGCAGCAAGCTTGAATGAACAAAACTATACAATCAGTGTAAATTCTTGTTGCATCAAAACTGGTGGAGCAATTGATGCTTATTGGACTGTCTATGGAGAAGTTTCGAATGGAAATGCTGATTGGATTGGAATTTACAAATCTGGTAGATGTGGAACAACTGTGGGAAGCTCATGCCCTTCCAATTCAGATGCGTGGAGCTATATTAGCAGCAGTGGTACCTCTGGCCAACAAATTATAACAGCTCCCTCTGCAATAGGAATATATAGAGCATACTATTTCCATGATAATGGGTATACAATTAAAGCTATATCACAATCATTTTCCATATTATCATCATCATTATGTGCAGCTCTTAATTTAACAGTTAACCCAGAAACTCAGGTTTCTAATCAAACAGTTGTTGTTTCATGGTGTGGTGCTAGTACATCGGATATAGATGATTGGATTGCGTTTTGGCAAATAGATTCATCTCCAAGTACCGATCACAATTATACACCTAGTGCTTGGGCTTATACATACGGTGGAACAATTCCAAAGAATCAATATACAACAGCTTCAGGACAGGTATCTATACAGGTTCCTTCATTACATGGAACATACACTGTTTATTATTGCAAAACCAACGGATATATCTGTTCAAGCTACATTACTGTCAAGGTCGTTAATCCAAATATATGCAAACCATCTGCTTCAACAACATCAACAGTTGAACACATCATAATTATTGTTCCTGAAAACCATTCTTTTGACAGTATATATGGAAGATATTGTCAAGCCACCACAGGTTCAAAACCAACTTGTAATATCGGTCCATCTTGTTGCGAAGCAGCACCAAATAATGTAAGTGGATCATTTCCCATAACTTTAACCGATCAACAAAATCTTGCGTACGATCCCAATCATAGTGCCTCTTGCGAAACATGTGAAATAGATAACGGTTTAATGGATCGATATGTTACTGGGTGTTCTTGCTCAAGTCCATCTAATTTTGCTATTGCCGATAGCACAAGTGCAGGAGGTTATTATTCATGGGCAAGTTCATATGCAATAGCTGATAATTTCTTTCAATCTACTGCTGGTGCCAGTTCTGAAAACAATATGTATTTTGCGACAGGTAAATTCTTATTTTTGGATAATAATGTAGTTCCACAAAATCGTAATATGAATGGGGCACGTTGTTATACCGCCAATTTCGCAAGTTATGATAGTACAACGATCACAGATTTATTGAATTATTGTGGCATCTATTGGACATTCTATGCTGAAGGGTATGATCAAAATCCAAGCAGTAATCAATGCTATCCATATTATTATGATGCAAGTGATGATCCATTTACGTATTTTCCAAATTTGATAAATTCTTCAGAACGTTATTCCCAAAATTTCAGAGATTATACTAATTTGCATTCTGACATTAGAGCTGGAAAACTTCCAGCTGTTAGTTACGTCAAAGGATTAGGTATTCATAGTGAACATCCCGGTTATAGTACATTAACAGCCGGTGAAACAATCTCACAAAATGTCATTAATGCTATAAATGCATCGAATACATACAAAGAAAATACTGTTATATTTTTGCTTCCAGATGAAAGTGGTGGCTTCTATGATCATGTAGCTCCACCACCAAAAAGAACAATTGATAATCAACCATATGGCCCTAGGGTGCCATTTGTTGCTGTCGGACATCAAATTAAACAAAATTATGTTTCACATGTTCAGATGGAATCGTCGAGTTTAATTAAATTTATTGAATGGAACTGGCTTAATGGTCAACCCGGTCAATTAGAAACTCGTGATACAGTTGTTAATAACATTGGCGACATGTTTGATCATACAAAAACCGGTGTTGAAATCCCTTCAAACTAATTAATTCCCTTCAGCAGCTACTCGGCGTGTCTCATTTCGCTAGTTGCAAAAACTCTGTCACCTCTATTTAAGCCTCTCACATTTATTGCATGCTTAGTTAGTTTTCTCAAGAAGATTAATAAATTTAGTACCCAGTCACAGTAACCAAATAAATATTGTGTTTCTGTCCCGCTACGGTCTTCATCAGGTGGGTATGTAATATTTTCAGAATTCGACGATCGGTTTCGTCCTTTCTCAACGAACTCGTCAGGTGACTTTAAATGCTCGGTATCTAATTCAAAAAAGTTCCAAGTTGAAAGGCTTGTAAAGTTGCAAAAAGCTATATTCAAATGTATGACTGAAGAATTACGGCCTGGACGAAAATGTAGTTAGATCTATAATAGATAGCAAAACAAATCACCCTTCAGTGGAATATTCATATGGACAACACGATGCCCATATTAGTAGGCATATAGAAACCTTCAAATCTGTCCGAGACAAACGAGAAGAAACGTCTTTAAAGTCTATCAAGACCAGATACGTGTCTTTTTACGCAGAAACTAGATGTTTTACTTTTCA